TCTTCTGTATGCAACCATTAGATGGTCAGAGGGAAGTGGGAAAAATGAAAAAGAGAGATCGAAGTTATTACTTTCATGGATGACTAAAGATGTGAATTGTCTATCATTCTGCACGCTCCTTGGGGTAATAGGCTAACCAGCATCAGATATATAGGAACTAAAGAAGATTAACCTCTAACCCAAAAACCATTAGTCACTGGTTGCAGCACATTCTTGTTGCCCTCTCTCCAGGAAAAAAACCGAGCACACTTTAAGAATTCCACACTGAAACCTGCTTATTGAGAATTGAATTAAAATATTGTCATGAGTTGCAGGAGGTGACAAAAAGGGGGTAAACTAAACCTTAAATAGGTTCTAACTATGCACGTGATAGCAGTAATTTGTTTCGGTAGACTGTGACCCGTTTTGACAATGTATTGATCATAGAAAATGTGGTGTCGCGAAGTTAGTTATTCCTGCTTTGCTGTAGTTACGATTACTTGTTTTTGGTTACAGGTTGATGGACCTACATACCAACTGCTTCTGAAGAAAGACAAGGCTCACGACATGGATGTAAATTCTGTGAAGTGGAGTTCCATGGTAAATCTATTGATATTTCAAATGCATAGTCAATGCACAAGATTCTTGAATAGTCTGTGTAATGAATCTGATGGGTTGGATGAGATAATCCTGTCTAGTAGTGCTCTTTAGCCCTTGTTTGGGCTCCATTTTTTCAAATTATAATGAAAGGAATAGTAATTTTTTGAAGAATGTGTGGTTAAAAAGAAAGGAAATTTTTTTAGGTTTACATGTAATATTATTTTATTGAAGAATGTGTGGTTGATAAGAAAAGAGAGAAAAATGAATTTTAATTTAATGGGGACCAAACAGGGGCTTAGTTTTTTGGGCCTGGCAGCTGATCTATAGCAAATCTCGTACTCATTAGTGGAACTAGCACCTCACTTTACTGGAGCAGTATCCTATTAGCTGCTTCTTCCTTTACGATGGTGCAACCAGTTCTAAGCACTTTCAAGTTGAAAGAATGGAAATGAACTTCACATTTAGCTGAATTGAGTAGTTCTATTCTTTCTTTGAGCTTTTGCCTTCATCAATGTGTAATTAATAATTATAACATCTTGTAAACTGCTCATGGTTTTGGTGCAAAATGAAATATTGCTATTCTGGAATAGATTCCACGATTACTGGGTTTCCTTGTGAATGCATGCGTCATTGGTTTTACCAACTTGATGCTTCTGAAATAATGGAATGCAGATTCTAGAGCAACTCAACTACACATTGTCAAAACTGAATTCAACCTGTTTATCTAACCTTCTCTTAGAGAGATTGCTAATGCTACGTTAAAAAACTTGGCACACGAACTAGGTTACACAATATTCGTATCCTGGGTAGACTTCTTTTATCTAAGCTGCTTTTGATGTACCTTGCTTTTGATTCCCGAGAGTTTTGTTATAATGTTTCCCCATTACTACGATTATGCTATGCAGCATTTGCATTCTATTGCTTAATGGAGATGGAATTCTTATGCACGTTTGCTTTATTGAAAAATGGCAGGAAAGCCGTCTTCTTGCCTCTGCAAGCGATGATGGGATGATCAAGATATGGGAATTGGTGTCTTTACCTTGATACAATGAACTGCAATTATAATTCCGTGGTTAACTATATTACTATGTCGTGTTGGAGAGATCATCCTTGTATTTTTCAGCCTCTTGAGAGGACATTTATCAATGTTTTGAAGTTTGTACTATAATTGTTAGTTGACACTCGAGGATGGCAATGTTAAAACTGGTACATAATTTCTTACTGAATGCCAATTATTCAGGGAAAACACGTATTAATAAAGAGAAAAAGCAAATTATAAGGAAGGAAAAGAATATCATCTTTAAACCGTAATAAATCAACAGCTATTTTGTGTTCTTAATTTGGTGGAATTAGCTCCTCTTGTGAGACACGAGCTGACATTATATTTTTATTCAGTAATGATGATTCAGAAGTAGTGAAGTCAATCGAATCCTCGAGTATTCCTGAACCCATATACCTGGAATCTAAACCTGACAAAATGCCTCGACTCGTTCTCTCTTTAGTCTCTAACGGCCACTCTGTACCACGTCTTAACTAGTGTTGTTCAACTGTTTACTATCACTATTTTCGATCGTGATTCCACTCGTTTATTGTCATCTGGCTCTCATAGTTTCTTGCATTCAGGCGGAAGCTGATGGCCGGACTGATTAGGGTTCTGGGGAGTCATGGTAGAAGAACAAATGAATCTATGATTCTATATCGTACGGGAATGAATGGGGACAAGTTATTTTGTTTTCTTATGGTGAAGCCACAGGTGTACGTGTCTTGTTTGGTAAAGCATTCAGATTGTGTTGTTTTGTCGTAGGCTCCGTGTGTGTGTGTGTGAGAGAGAGAGAGAGAGAGAGAGATCCGTGTGTGTATCTATATATGGGGGGAGAGAGAGAGAGAGAGAGAGAGAGAGAGAGAGAGAGAGAGAGAGAGAGCCTTCAAATGCAAAAGAGGAACCAATCTTGGAGAATAATCATATCCATGCATAACTATGCTTGTATTTCGTCATCATACAAGATCACAAACTTATTTCACTTCATTGTGATAGAAAGTAGAACAAATTACATGATTATATAGTTAAAAGTGTCTAATTTCACCATTCAACATATTCATTATCTCCTATTACTAAACGGGTGGAGGCTGTGTTTTCTCAAAGCTAAAACTCACATTTGATGCATAACCAAAATCCTGTACAAAGATAGCGAATCAAGTGGAACAAAAGTCTAATCATGTGTTTAAGCTCTTGGATATCGAGAGCGTCCTTTCTTTCTCAAAAACTCAGGGATCTCCACAGAACCACCTTCCAATGAGGAAGCAGGTCGCCTATTAATTCCAAAGCTAGTATCTCCCAGTGTCAGCTGATTTGCCTGCACTTCAACCAGTGGCCAAGGAACATTACTTAAAAATTTGAGTGGATGTGGCTGGTGCATGTGGGGGCAGAGAGCAATGGATAAATAAACAGAAGCATAGAGACACATTGAGAGAGAGAGAGAGAGAGACCTGCAGCGATCTCCCATCATTTTCCTCTTGTCGTTTAAATCCAGTTGCAATCAAAGTTATACTCACCTGGAGCAAGGCAAACCAAACTATTTAATTCCCACAAACATTATTACTCTAACTTACCAACCAAAAGACTGTTAAATTACGTATTTGTCGCCCCCAAACCAAACCCACCCACCATCATGAAAACGGTTTGCATCTACCTAACTAAAAAAAAAATATCCAGTTGAAACAGATACCATCTTGGAGTTGAATATTTTAAGGCCTCATTGCAGTTTCAATCATCTAGCTTAACCTTTTCTACAGCTTATACTTCTACACCTAACGTGTGCAATAGAGGTCTAATATTAGTTTTGGCATCCCAAGCACAGAATCAGCCGAGTTGGGATGTATGAAACCAATTCTGCTTCTCATGCTTTAAAGATAAATTCAGTACGAAAAGTAAACATGCAAGTATAGTATAAATATATATTTCAAACAATAAGTATAGAATGGATAAAATAAATCAGACGTCACTTTGGTTTTAACAAGCTTAACTTCTTCTGCACAAGCATTTTAAGCTCTTGATAGTCATGAAGTTGTGTCCAATCATCTGATCACTCAATCTCACTAAAGAGGACTAGCAGAGATAGAGATGCCCCAACGTTTCCAAAAGTTAATGTTTCCTTCGAAGGGAAAAGTCGATTTTAAATTTATCCTAAGAATTCAAGTTTCTAATGTTTATATTGTTCCAAATGTCAATATTCAAATTATCCAAAGTTCCCCACCTCACCCTCTAGCTTCCAGATTGCATCAGCATAGTAATGTTCCTTTTCTAGCACCACAGGAAACAGACATCGTAATACATTTAGCATGCATCTCCCTATTCCATTCTTATAAGTGCATAGACAGGTGAATGTGGTCTCAAATAACGAGTGATATGTAAAAAGCAGGTTCAATTATATGTTTAAACAGATGATAACTTACTTGTCCACTAAGTGATGGATCTATTACAGCACCAAATATCAGGTTAGCACTTGGATCCACGAGATCATAGATAACCTCTGCAGCAGCATTTACCTATCGTTCCACATAAAAAGGAGAGTCCAGAAATGATGATAGACATATGTTAATTACCCACCAAAGTACAAAGAAAATCATCCATCGAAATACCATATTTACTCGTATTATAGTTTATTTCAGACAAACCACCCACAAGTCATAAACAGCAGAAGACGAATAATATTCATTTCCTATTATATACCAAAACGATATGCAATTTAGGAAGGTTTGAGAATGCTAAGTAATATTTGATGGGTTACTTTTAATTGGCATTGGAAGAAGACTTTCTGGAAGGGTAACGTGAAATTTAATGAATCTTTCACTTACTAGATAGGCCTATTTTGGTAAAAATGAATTAAAATTAAGAAACAGAAGAAACAAACTGCACAGATTCAAGTACAGAGGTTAACTGTACTATCCTAACTTCACATGAGGCAGAGTTCGTTCTGTTTGGGGTGCTAGAGGAAATGTTGACAGATAAGTCACCCTAGTGTTACTTTATAAAATCGTAAATAAGAAGTTCATATCATGCGGCTTCTTGTTTAATCTCATTATCTTGTATAAACGCTTAAACTTCATTTCCACAATTTTCAGGTTGTGATCAGTTGTCTAACCATACATGCTACGATTAGGCCTTTACCTGTTCTCCTGATCTCCACTAATCATGCGGGTCAGAGTGGAATAAAAAGATAGAGGAATGGACACATACATTACATAAAATAGCGGTTAACTGCTTCCACATGCAAGACAACACCAAAGATCAGGCACATATGTTGATTGTGAATCATTCTTAGAAGTACTTAGTGTCAATGTTACCAGCAGGGTTTGGTTGCAAAATATTGTGTAATTAGAGTAGTTGTCTTGCACATTTAAATAGTACACAATCTTTCATGTTATTTAATCTCAGATTTACCATTGTCTAAACTTCACTGAGGAAGGTATTAAAAGAAATACGCTTGCAGTTATAAAATAAATGAAAACACCATTCCTTATGTCAAGATCTTGGTAAACGATGGTAAAAATAATGTCTCATTATAAAAAAACTAGAGCAGCAAAAACTACCTCAAACAATGATAAATCGCTGCCACCAGTAATATTCCACACAATCCCTGTGGCCCTCTCTATCCCAATATCCAATAAAGGAGATTGAATGGCATTTAATGCAGCATCTCTGGCCCTGGACTTTCCTGTGTGATACAAGATGACAATACTGGTCATGCTAAGGTTCAAAAGTACAAGAACCTTACAAAAACTAGAAGTTGCAAGATGCAGAGGGCATAATGCATAATGAACCAAATTTCTTTTTTTGGTACAAGTAAATATAATTTTCTGTTTGATTGGCTATAGAAAATTATACTTGGGACAGAAAGGAGTAAAATTCAATTTGGTGCAGCAGTTTGCCGAGTGCCAAGTTATCACTCGACAAAATGATACTATTTCTTTTATCGCGTCACATGTTTGCATCAATAATTTTGTTATATGTATCCAATTCTAAGAAAATAAATTTCTAATGAAAGACAAGATTCCAGGATAAAAACTACAGAATTTACAAGGTTCTTTATGGCTGTTATAATCTGCATTTTCAGTAGAGTGATGCTTGGGGTATAGGGCCCCTACCGAGCACTCACAACATGGGGGTGGGAGGGTGGGTTTTTGGCCAATTTTTTATACAGGTAGGTCCCGCACGGCATGGGACCCACATGCTGTGAGGGTCGGTAGGGTTCTGTTCTTGGTAAAACAGCAAATTCCTTTTCAGTAACCAACTGGATTAAGGGAATATTGCTACTGAAGGCAGTACTCAACTAATCTATTTCTTGACAGCCAAAAAGATGTCAAAAAGATTTAGTAGAAATCTGTCCACTCTTTGTCCATTTCCGCGTTAATTTATCATATCCCAAGACATGTCTAGTCCCACATTCTGCAATATAGTAATCAATCTCTTAGTAGGCCCATTTTCTGATCTCACGGGGGACTTTTAAAATGCATTTTTGATACCAACTGATCATAAGAAAAATTGTACACCTCATCTACTGCAGCAGTCTAGTTGGAAGAAATGTTTGAGTCAAAATCAGCAGTAAGGGTTATCATACCACATAACAAGTCAAGCAAGATCTCTATCTATGAACACACCAAAACAAAATTACAGTTTGAGGAACTAACTATTGTGTTGGGCAGCAACAATGTCACTCTTAATCCCACGTGTAGCATCACTCAAATGATGATGGTCAAATGACATTAACAGTTTGGCATTCCCTCACTGGACACCAATACTTAAAACCTGATCCTACAATGGTATCGGAGCAAAGGTCATGGATTCAGGCTACAAGAACATCATGTTGACAGAGGTTTTTTGGGAGAAAAAATTCTACTCTTAAGTCCATGGGTGGAGACACAAAAATGATGGTTGTCAAATGCCATAAAAGGTTTAGCCTTCCCTCAATGGACACCAACTATTTTCAGGTGAGATTGTTAAAGCCTGATCATACATGGCCAGTTGGTTTCTTATACTTCCCCAAAGCCTCCCTTGATAAAATGTGGAACTGGCCCTAAAACAACAGTTTCCCTACTCATTCCCATATTTTGCAGATCAGTCTCATCAATAAGGTATTCACAGGAATAACTCCAGAGTCAATTCTAGTCCCCAAATGGAAAAATACCACCACATAAATGCACCCTGCCAACCAAAGCACTTGGGCATCACTAACACCAGCAGCAGTCAAAATTCGAAATGTGTAAAATTCATCAAAATAAATAATTCACTTAAAACATCTGAAACATCTAACTAAGTTGTTTCACTTGTAAGTATAATTTTCTTTGGATAATACAATATCTTAGAACAGATACTAAGGTAATTTATCTACAAAATTAAATTCAAGATATACTTTTGTCTATATTACTAGGTAATTGTGGCAAAAGGTAATCGTTTAAATGTTAATAAATATCTGAAAAAATGCAATCCTATGAGCATCTAGAAATTTGATCATACAAAAAAATATTAAAATTAATCATCCTTACACATATGTTCCTTGAGTACTATCCAGAATCCACCAAATATGGATGATACTTGGATTCATATTTAAATGTAATTGCTAGTTTGACCCTCATCACTGGCCTTATATACATACTAAAATAGGGAAGCAAACGAACTTCCGTGGCTATTGCCACACTCATCCAATACCAGCAACCATTCCATTTCCACCTAAATCATACCTGTACACTAATTTTGCACATTATAGACCTTCTTTAGTTGCTTATATTTTGCTGAGCTAAATTACATCCAGTTTCCTTGAGTTTTACAAAAATTAAATCCTATCTAGAATATTGGATGTGGCAGTGACCTATCTCAGAGATGTTAATAGCACGCCCAAGTTTAGAGAGGGGCACCCTAGGAACCTTATTACTGAAGCACAAACTGAGTACAGATTGGAAAGGCACAAAGGATAAAAAAAATAATAAAAAAAAATAAAAAATAAAAAAAATTGAGAGGTTTATGAAACTTTTGGGCCTTCTGATTTCTTTCCTTTTTTTTTTTTAAAACTTTGTTTTGATTCCTCACGTGGTGTTGATAATTTAGAAATGGAGTCAACGCTGATTTTCCTCAAAATAACAGCTAATTAGATAATGTTTTTTAAAATCTCCTGTCAGTCGCAGCATTGTGTGAGATTAACTTATATAGTAATGCGTAGAGTTTTTCTTCTGAACATACATAATGTTTTCACTATGATGAAATATCATGCACTTCTCTTTGTACCAAACCCATGACAAATTGGTGGCTCAATGCACTTTTTCTTTTAATAACTATGACCTATTGTTAAAAATTCAGTTCTAGCTCACTATAACGCATCGCCAAAATATGAAGAAACTGACGAAACAGTGTTCACCTAAGTACACTATAAATTCTATTACTCAAAAGGGCTAAAACACCTTTTATCTTGAGTGGAGATTGTGACATAAAGGGGTAGAAAGGGTAAAGACATCACATTATGTAAGTAGGAAAAACCTGAAATTCTAATCAAGAAGCATAAATCCAGCAACCTTTTTCTATCTAAGTGGTGTTATCTAGAACTCTGATTCATGGAATCACTTTAAGACTGTTGGATGCATACAGCACTGGAAGAAATGCTGGATTATCCTGTTACTTGTCATGTCTGGGCCAAGAGGAAGCATAATAGGAAACATATAATTAAAGAAAACAGCAACAAGAGAAAAATCTTGTTGTCCACTGTATGTACACAGAAGGGATAAAAGAGAAGTCAAAGAGTTGGAATAATGACCATAAGCCAAAAGCCAGGTGATGCACAACTCCGAATTGGCTGAATGACATTGAGTGATTGATAGAAAGGAACAGTTTAAAGCTAGTTGAAACCAAAAGGCTTACTGGAATTACCTGTTGCGGTCCCTATCCCCATCAATGAAGAACCAGCATTTGCCATAATAGCACGCACATCTGCAAAATCCACATTCACCAGCCCAGGAATCTGCAAATAGTGCAACTTTCAACAATTAGTAATCAGAAATCCCAATAACAGTCTCAGATAATTAGAAAGGTAGTCCAGTTATTCTTAAGAATAACATTAAACTGGAGGCTTGCATATACCAATATACGTACAAGCACACATGTACGCACACCATCTTATTATCAGATTCAAGCTTTATGTTCCAACTACACATGCTATAAAATTGCGTAACTCATAATCATGTATTTCCCTGCAACATATTGCTCACTTATTGGTTCATCATCACATTGTTGAATCTTATATTGGTCCTGTGAATATTTCATTGGACAAATAGACTAAAGGTACATATTCAAAATTTAATTAGCATAATTATTAACTACCTATTCCAGAGTTTCACCCACGGAAAAGAAAACTCGTCAAGAAAGAATAAAAATTACAACTAGCATTGTCGTTTACAAATAGATTATAATATTCTCTGTAAAAAAAAAAAAAAAAAAAAAAAAAAAAAGCCCTTTTCCTGGAAAGTATTTGCAAGCAAACCACTGAATGAAAAAGGTAATAAAAAATACTCATCAAGCACCTGCAAATAACACTATCAGTTATCAATGGATAGAAGTTGAATTTATCATATATATGCATTCGTACCGTGATTATATCAGATATTCCACGAACACCTTGTCTAAGAATGTCATCTGCAAGATTGAATGCTTCTGTTACTGGAGTAGATGGGGAAACTGCAGTCAATAATTTATCATTTGGAATGACAATCAGTGTGTCAACATTCTCTCTCAAAGCTGCAATTCCTTCTTGAGCTTGTACAGCTCTTCTTCGTCCCTCAAACGAAAATGGAGTAGTGACTATACCCACAGTCAAGATACCCATTGACTTTGCAATCCCTGCAATTACGGGAGCTCCACCAGTTCCTGTTCCCCCACCCATTCCAGCCTGCACATTATCAAAACCTTGAGATAAGATAATGAAAGGTAGGCATTATCAACCATCCAGATTTATAATACTTGCTCACTAATGAATGTGCATAAAGGTACATAGCATCAAGTACACTGTGGCATAGACCAAAGAGTGTTTTAAGCATATAGGCCATGAACACCTTTAATGTATAATTAACTGAGTTTAAGTTACTGCAACAAATGTCAATTTTACAAATAACGTGAAAAGGTCAAGATAGTGTCGAAGATAGCAGATCACCCTCTGATTATGGTTAGACAAATGGTAAGTGATTATGATACTGATTTAGATCTCTATGAACAAATTAAAAAATCATACTATAAAAAAAGGGATCTCAACTTCAGGTCCAAATTAATGAAAAATGTCAACAAATATGACAGAACACCTAGATTCTAGGTTGATTAGCCAACATAAAATTGTAAAATTCAAAAATTTAGCACAGGACTTGGGAAATACTGAAACTTTGCTCTTATTATCAGTGAGATACTAAGGATTTCCGGAGGTTATACTAAATCTCTCTGTTACCAGGACCGAACATAGCTGGTACTGAGAATTGAAGGAATCTAAAAGTTTATGACCAGCATACAGGATATGTGCTAGTTTGACAGCTAGAAACTCCCATAAACAAGAAAAAAATTGAAAAGAAAAAAAAAACGAAATGGAACAGCAAAACCAATTTGTGCAGATAATCATTTGGTTCAAAGAAGCAGAAACTTACAGTAACAAAGACCATGTCAGATCCATAAACCGCCTCTTCTACAGCTTCTTTGCTTTCTTTAGCAGCATTCATCCCAATGTCCGGGTTCCCACCAGCACCAAGTCCTCTGGTTAACTCTTGACCGATTTGTAACCGATTCTCGGAAAACACAGGGGACATCCTCATTGCCTGTACATCAGTGTTGACAATCCAGAACTCCACACCATTCATTGCACTCTCAATCATACGATTAACTGCATTCGACCCACCACCTCCAACGCCAATAACCTTGATCTTGGCCTCATTGTAATTGTTCACACTTGATGAGTCTCTCACACCCTCGGTAACACTTCCACTCAAACTCTCCTGTCTTGGGTTGGTCATTGAGGCGTTTGTCTCACCTCTTAGCATCGAAATCTCTGGGTGCAGATTCAAAAATGGGTCCTTACCTTGAAATTGATTAACACTAGAGTTGGAAGAACATTTGAATCGAGGAACACTTGAACCACACTTTTGACTAATACCTAAAAGCCCACTCTTTTCTTCAACCATTTTTAAGGGGACAACTCTTCCTCCGAGAACATTCAATACCCCCATGGGTCTTCGAGTATCTGGAGGCATCAAATACTGGGGCGGTAACATAGCCATCCCAGGAATATACTCAAGTATAATCTGGTTTTAATATGAATATTGATAAACTCAACAGACTATATCTCCAACTTGAAGCTCAAGATTTACTTTAAGAACCTGACAATTGATAAACAAACAAACCAAACAAAATTCAATTAATGAAAATACGCCACATCACAGTAGCAAACCTAGCAAAGTATCATACTAGGTATGATAAATTTTCGGACAATTACAGAATAGAATTGCACGCTATTGAATTGTCAGCTAGAGATTTCAAAAATTCACAATGCTCTGACTAAACCCAGATAGAAATACGCCTCAAGTCCATTCAAATAATGCACTATGTAGCACAGAAATATCAGTTAAATGTCATACCAATAAGGAACTACGCCGTCGAAGAGAAAAATGGAAAGCAAATAAATTACAAAATTCAGATAGGTAAATCAAAAGCATGAAGTTGACTTGCAACAAAAAACCTGGTGTTGCTCTTTATCAAGAACGCCTCCACTGGCAATGCAAGTAGTTAAGAAATTCAATAGCAACAAGAAAAGACTACAATAGAGATTTGAATGGCGAATTTCCAGGGTTCACACAAAAAAAAAAAAAAAAAAAAAAAAAAGCCCTTTTCCTGGAAAGTATTTGCAAGCAAACCACTGAATGAAAAAGGTAATAAAAAATACTCATCAAGCACCTGCAAATAACACTATCAGTTATCAATGGATAGAAGTTGAATTTATCATATATATGCATTCGTACCGTGATTATATCAGATATTCCACGAACACCTTGTCTAAGAATGTCATCTGCAAGATTGAATGCTTCTGTTACTGGAGTAGATGGGGAAACTGCAGTCAATAATTTATCATTTGGAATGACAATCAGTGTGTCAACATTCTCTCTCAAAGCTGCAATTCCTTCTTGAGCTTGTACAGCTCTTCTTCGTCCCTCAAACGAAAATGGAGTAGTGACTATACCCACAGTCAAGATACCCATTGACTTTGCAATCCCTGCAATTACGGGAGCTCCACCGGTTCCTGTTCCCCCACCCATTCCAGCCTGCACATTATCAAAACCTTGAGATAAGATAATGAAAGGTAGGCATTATCAACCATCCAGATTTATAATACTTGCTCACTAATGAATGTGCATAAAGGTACATAGCATCAAGTACACTGTGGCATAGACCAAAGAGTGTTTTAAGCATATAGGCCATGAACACCTTTAATGTATAATTAACTGAGTTTAAGTTACTGCAACAAATGTCAATTTTACAAATAACGTGAAAAGGTCAAGATAGTGTCGAAGATAGCAGATCACCCTCTGATTATGGTTAGACAAATGGTAAGTGATTATGATACTGATTTAGATCTCTATGAACAAATTAAAAAATCATACTATAAAAAAAGGGATCTCAACTTCAGGTCCAAATTAATGAAAAATGTCAACAAATATGACAGAACACCTAGATTCTAGGTTGATTAGCCAACATAAAATTGTAAAATTCAAAAATTTAGCACAGGACTTGGGAAATACTGAAACTTTGCTCTTATTATCAGTGAGATACTAAGGATTTCCGGAGGTTATACTAAATCTCTCTGTTACCAGGACCGAACATAGCTGGTACTGAGAATTGAAGGAATCTAAAAGTTTATGACCAGCATACAGGATATGTGCTAGTTTGACAGCTAGAAACTCCCATAAACAAGAAAAAAATTGAAAAGAAAAAAAAAACGAAATGGAACAGCAAAACCAATTTGTGCAGATAATCATTTGGTTCAAAGAAGCAGAAACTTACAGTAACAAAGACCATGTCAGATCCATAAACCGCCTCTTCTACAGCTTCTTTGCTTTCTTTAGCAGCATTCATCCCAATGTCCGGGTTCCCACCAGCACCAAGTCCTCTGGTTAACTCTTGACCGATTTGTAACCGATTCTCGGAAAACACAGGGGACATCCTCATTGCCTGTACATCAGTGTTGACAATCCAGAACTCCACACCATTCATTGCACTCTCAATCATACGATTAACTGCATTCGACCCACCACCTCCAACGCCAATAACCTTGATCTTGGCCTCATTGTAATTGTTCACACTTGATGAGTCTCTCACACCCTCGGTAACACTTCCACTCAAACTCTCCTGTCTTGGGTTGGTCATTGAGGCGTTTGTCTCACCTCTTAGCATCGAAATCTCTGGGTGCAGATTCAAAAATGGGTCCTTACCTTGAAATTGATTAACACTAGAGTTGGAAGAACATTTGAATCGAGGAACACTTGAACCACACTTTTGACTAATACCTAAAAGCCCACTCTTTTCTTCAACCATTTTTAAGGGGACAACTCTTCCTCCGAGAACATTCAATACCCCCATGGGTCTTCGAGTATCTGGAGGCATCAAATACTGGGGCGGTAACATAGCCATCCCAGGAATATACTCAAGTATAATCTGGTTTTAATATGAATATTGATAAACTCAACAGACTATATCTCCAACTTGAAGCTCAAGATTTACTTTAAGAACCTGACAATTGATAAACAAACAAACCAAACAAAATTCAATTAATGAAAATACGCCACATCACAGTAGCAAACCTAGCAAAGTATCATACTAGGTATGATAAATTTTCGGACAATTACAGAATAGAATTGCACGCTATTGAATTGTCAGCTAGAGATTTCAAAAATTCACAATGCTCTGACAAAACCCAGATAGAAATACGCCTCAAGTCCATTCAAATAATGCACTATGTAGCACAGAAATATCAGTTAAATGTCATACCAATAAGGAACTACGCCGTCGAAGAGAAAAATGGAAAGCAAATAAATTACAAAATTCAGATAGGTAAATCAAAAGCATGAAGTTGACTTGCAACAAAAAACCTGGTGTTGCTCTTTATCAAGAACGCCTCCACCGGCAATGCAAGTAGTTAAGAAATTCAATAGCAACAAGAAAAGACTACAATAGAGATTTGAATGGCGAATTTCCAGGGTTCACACGAGTCTTTATCATTCAATACCACTGAGCTTGCTTTCATCTCACATGGCATTTTCTTGTTTAGGGAGACGACATGTGTGGGCCTCCAGCCTTTTGGGCTGGGCTGAAAGGAACAAAAGTAGAAGAAAGCCTTATCACTTGGGGCTTTAATTTATTGGTTGGTTAGTTTTATCTTTTATTAATTTTCGATTTTTTTATTATGATAGCTGAAGACCTATGTGACGTCCACGTCCTAAAATTTAATTTAAGAAGATGAAAGGAAATTTATTTTATTTTATAGTGAAAATTTCATTTTATACGAAGTTCTTGTAGGGTATTGGAGCTATATATTTCTAATTCAGTGTGCATGATTTAAATAAGATATTCATTAGGATAAATTGTCTTGCTCATGAAAATTGGTCGTGATTTTAGAATCTAAATGGCTATTTTGGTTGGAAAATAGCTAACTTTGTAAAAATTGTAGTCCACAAGGAGAGTGAGGTAGGGTATGCAAATAGGTTAAGCTGCTCGTTGACTTGTTCAACGAACGAGTCCAACTTGTTATGAGATGAATTATGGGCGTCGAATTTTCAAGATTTGGTTAATATCTTTCCTCCCATAATGATGTCAATCCAATGGGACAACTTGTTTGTATTGTATAACTTTCAATAGACGATCTCTCTACAAAGTATAAGGAAATGAAACTATTGCTCAATCACAGTCCAATGTGCGTAGTGCTTTCGCGAAGAGATAATGGAGAAGGGAAGGAGAAGGAGAGGCAAAGGGAGTGGGAGATTTTAGGGCATCTCCAGTGCTGCACCATATTTCAGACCAAATCTTGCACCAAAGTAAAATCCATCTCCAACCATTACACCGAAATTTGCACCAAATGAACAGTATTTAACCATTTTCTTTCCTTTATTTATTCTTAATAATTTATTTATTTGAAATATTATTTATGTAATTATTTTTTAAATATATAAATTACTAAATAAATAATTACGTTCAATTATGGAAAATATAAAATTCATTAATAATATAAAAAATAGTACAATTAATAAAAACACTACGACAATGAAAATACTAAATCATGCCATTAAAAAATAGTGCAATGCATTTCAAATTAGGATATTACAATATTACAAAGTCGAAATATTATTGCAATTTAATTCTCGAAATTCATATCGTTTTCTTTAAATAAAATTAGATTATTGTATTTTTTTAACTTTAAGAAATAATTTTGTTTTTTTCTTCTTTTTATTAATTAATTAATTTATTATTATTTTTATATTTAAAATTTATTTTAAGTGCAAATAATGATATTAATAATTTATTGTATTAAAAAATATATTGCACAAATGACATAAATACCCTTAATCAATTTGTTTGGAAAAGGAAAAGCAAAGGCAAAAATAATATTATACACTTTGCACTGTTTTAAATGTTGCAAAGTGAATAGCGTTTCACCATATTAGCACTATTCATTTTGTACCATTTACACCAAAATGATGCAAAGTTTGGTGCCACATTGAAAGAAATTTGCACCAACATTTGGTGAAATGGTACAAACACTGGAGATGGCCTTAGGGTTGGATTTAGGTGGAGGAAAGGTTTTGCTAGGTCTGGTTGTGGATTTTTCCTTTTTTTTATTTTAATTATTAATATTTAAAAAATGCATTATCATCTTATTTTTGAACAAAAAGAACTTTAATTCTTAACTTTGAATTAGGAACATAAAAATCAGGGTTGACTGTAATTTCCACAATTACAATCCCTTAAGATGTAACTAATCTACAATCTAGGCCCAACAAGCAGTCCACCAAGAAAGTTTCAAATTTCACCCCAACTTTGTAGTAAAGTTTTAGTAACCCAAAAAATTACGAAATTTGATGCTTGTACACCGAGCTTGACAGCTCGGTGTACAGCCCTCTCACAAAAAAAGGGGGCCCGCGTCCAGTAAAAAAATTTCGGGCCCTCCTCTTGTGAGGAGGGTTGTACACCGAGCTGTCAAGCTCTATGTACGTGTAGTACTTCTCAAAAATTATCAACAATCTGCTCAGTACACTTCTCCCTCCTAACATGACATGACGTGACACGACATCTCATTAATCTCGACCAACCAAAAACATGGATTTGAGGAAAGAAGTGAGAGTTGAGCATACTAGATGTTAACGTATGGTTAGTTCTCAATCATGAATGGATAATTTACTCTTGGCTTGACCAATGGGGAAGTTTTCTGCTGGCTGCTTGTTCCACAAGTAGTTAGAAGCTTCGACCCATCTCGGATGAACCAAAAATTTATTCTCCTGCACTGCCCAACGAGACTTATCTGTTCCTGCATCCAGAGAAACAACATGTGTCACGTGTGGATCTAGTTCTGTCAAGCATGTTGCTCCAAGTCGTTCTGCCATTTTCCAGATTTGTTGATTTTCGGCAATGGAACTAGTTGGGAAAACACGGCTGAAGACAACTTTGCAACCCTTCAAAATTTCTTTGCGGACAGATATTAGTACCTGTGGAATGATTTACAGTTACACTACGATTGAAGTGTCAAGAAGATAATAACTACAATTACATGCAAGTTGAACTTTCAGATGCAGAAGGAAATATGCATTTATATGTTCATTATTTGGTAATTGAATCGAAGCATCAAAAGCAGATCATTTCAATCTGTGAATTCAAGTTTATTTGAAGAAATCAACCCTCTCCCGAGCAGCTACCAATATATTGTCATTCTCAACCATGTGGATACCCTTCCAGATGTCAACAGTTCAGTCTAATGCCCAGGTGAAAAGATTTTTAGATTCAGTTTTAAGTGTAGCAACTTTTTCAAGAAAAGCTTAAACTAACATGTATTTAGAAATTAATGATGGAATCTTTAAGAGACTATCAAAGATAGCTTTATACAGAGTTGAAGCGGACTCTCATCTTAAATCGCAAGAATGGATCACCATTTGTAGCAGATAAAAATTCTAAATTTAAGACTAGACCTTGTCCATTTTATCGCATATTTTTTTGGGCTTTTTACAACTGAAATGGGGTTAGAAACAGTGTGCAAGCATCTCATGTCATTCAGCTTTCAGTAATTCAACCCCACCTCAAAATTCATGTCTAATGGTCTCAGAAACTAAACAAAGAAAAACAAAGGAAAATATACATACCGGTAGAATAACTGCCATTCAACACGACTGGTAGAAAGGAAAAAAGAAATTCAGATAACTGAAAATTTACCTGCCTCACATCTCGGTGCTCTAGATTTTCCATGTGTTCCTGCAAGAGAAGATTATTATTTGTAAAACTGAAGGTAAAGAATATTCAAATGCAATTGACATGTGTTTATTCCACATACCGGGTCAAAGAACAAACTTTGGATCATCTTCTGCAGAATTTTAAGAACAGTAGCAAGTGCTCCATCTGCCTCACTTTCATCACTTCTTAGTTCGGAAAGCGATTTGCAATTAAAGCCAAATTGTCGGCAACTTGAAGCAATAGATTATCCTTATGCTTCCCCCGTACCTAAAACAAAGACAACCATCATATCTGACTCTGCCTATTATAGTGTTATGTCAACAATTTAGATCAACTAAAAGAAACGAATCAATTCTGCATTTAATGAATGTAATATAGCCCCTATTTGATGGTCATGATTGTGTAAAAATGATGTTTTGAATAGTGATTTTTTGGAAAACTGTTTCGCGCGTGTTAACTCGCTAACAATTAAAGAGGATCAGACGATTGTGTAAGGGACGAAACCTCTTGAGACAAAGTCCCAAAAAGGGGTGTTTTTTTTATTGGTGATGAACTTTACAATTGGAAACGGAAAACAACGTGCCTCCAAGGGGTACAAGCACACGAGTTACAGAAAAGGAAGTGTTTAAGTCTAAAAGCTAAAGAAATGAAAATTACATATTCTCTGTTCGAGAGTTTTGGATTCGGTCCTTTGCTTCTATGTTCTTTCTCCCTTTTATACTTCATAGGCGATCCCTTTGTGATTAACTGCTCTAAAAAACTGCTTGATCGCCCTATAACTACCCACTTTCTTTGTAGTGGCCATTTTGTCATGAAACTGTCCTTTTAACTGCTGTCATTATCTTGCATCGTTCAACCGCTTTCGATTGAACCCCTTGAGTCGTGGAACGTGGTAAGGTTAATTTAGCAACTGCCTCAATAACTGCATTTTTTGATAATCATAATGCGTTATTTTTGTTAATACCTTGGGCGACTTGAAGATTTGGGCGAGACTCTGGGCGATCGTATGCCACTCTATTCGTTCAGATTCTGAGCGACTTGCAAACTTGGGCGATGGCGTTACCGCACTATTGGGCCCCTTATTTGGGCCTTCACCTTGATTCGTTCAATTGGATTTCGCTCTTTGGGCTATCTGATTTGGGGATCCTCCAATTGGGTTTTACTCTCTGGGCTGTTCGATTTGGGCTGAATTTTTATGTGTCAACAATTACCCCCCAATATGGCAGAATTAATAATAATTATTGAATTTTTTCATATTCACTTCACGTCTCCAGCAACGTTCGCGATTCCCAAAGAATTTCAATCATTGTTTCCCTCTATAACTTGAAAAGGTGCGTCGCTTTGCAAAACCCTTATAAACTCCAAACACGCCATTTTACCGCTACCAAATCACGTTTCATATTTCTTGGGCATCCTTCACGATTCCCTTTCATCTTTTGCTTCCTTGTTACGTAACTTCGAAAAGCTTCGTTCCTTCTTTAATGGCTGCTTCACAATCTCAAGCTAGCGACTCCTTTAGTTTTGATGACTTTCAGAAACTTCTGAGTCATCCATACGTAACCCCAAGTTTTCTCGCGCCCGCCGATGTTGGACGTAATGAGTTTTACTTGGGTCCTTTCTTCAACAATGCGGAGGCAGTTGAACAGGCGGCGGTGGGTCAGCTGTTTCCTTGCACTCATGGCCCTCCTTTTCTGAATTCTTTGCCGCTGGAGCCACTTCGTGAAAGAGGTATTCGCACTTGGCCCAAATCTGACGTAGCTTTTCGTAGGTGACATGCTCGTCTTGTGGGTCATGGTCCTACTAAGGCACTTTTTGATAGCGCTAGGATTTCTGATTTGTTGGAAGTCTCTATTCGCCCCCCTACTTTTGATT